AATGGAGTTTGACTCGCAGTGCCGCTAGTTCTATGGTTATCCTTGTTTAATTTAATGAGTTAAAAAGGGTGTATGTTATTATTATATTAATACAGTGCTTTACTAAGTATGTATTAAAAGAAAAAACGAGCGAGCTACTTCTCTTCCACTTCCAAAATTGCTATTTGTTTTCTTTAATCAAAATTCAAAAAAATATCACTTGAGCAGCGACCGAAATTAACTTCAAAATGTATAAAAGCTAAATACTGTAATATTTATTCGAATAAGTTAAAGTTACAGCTTATATACGTCCCACTTCTGGGCACAAGCCTCCTCTCATTTCCGACAGGGTTTTAGGGCAAGTACTAGTCCATGCTGCCCCAATGCGTGATGGCGAAATTCACATGTCTTCGAAAAAAATTTTTCTTATTTCTCAGACATGCAGTTTTCCTCACGATGTTTTCCTTCACCGCCGAGCATGTGGTAAATCAGTACTTAAAATTGCAATTAACAATTTCATAGGTGCCGGCGGGGATCGAACCCGGTTTGCTCGCGTATTGTGAAACTACGGAAACAGCGAGCGCTAACCATCTGAGCTACCACGGCTCTCGAATAAGTAATTATTCATTATTCCTCGCTTGCAATTTTTATCAATGATCTGTACTTTTCCAGACACATAATCAACAGTAAATACATTTATTATTATAGTTTACATGTACCCATTAGTTTATATAACAGCACAAATTACTAACACCGCGCGCGCTCATTGGTCAAATTAAATACCTCGCGCTTACCCGGTTTCCTGTTACACTTCTATTTCTTTTCACGAAATCACTCCCGCAGATTGTAAAGCGAGAAAAAGACCTTACACATCAAAAAATTTCTTACTGTTGTAAGCTGTTTACTGTAAAAAATTTGTATAACAGCTACAGATTACCTCCATTATCTCATTTTCTAATATAAATTACTTGGAACTGATTCCACATTGCATGTTAAATCATTATGCTGCTCAATAGGAGCAGATGTCTGGGCAGCCAAGTTCTTGGCTGAGTTAATATATAAATAATAAGATACATTTGCTATGTCTCAAATTATATTTGGACGGGTAATACCTATCTGTAGAACATTTCTAAGGTACCTAAATTATTTGTCTATTAAATAATTCTAATATTAAATTAATTCTAATATTATCATCTTTCATAGACTTATTAAGTATACTACTGATAACTATTTCAATTAAATGTCAAATTTAAAATATTATTACAAATGTAAGAAATGTAGAATCGAATACATACAATGAATGTTTATATCAACGGAGAAATATTTTACTCCTATTATATCTTAGAATCAAAGACAATCTGTAGAAATCCAGTTAAAAGTAACGATAAAAGAAAGGAAAATGTTTAAAATCGAAGTTCAAAAGAGATGATACAAATAATTTATAAACTTTATACCTATGATATATTTTTTCCAAAACACGTATTCGGACGAGTAACATTCCCAGATGATATTATAACTATGTGTATGAATAAAATCCAGGCTTTTTTCAGTTTATTACACAAGGCAAAAAATAAACACGCTTGATTAAATCATAGACGATCGACATAAAATAGCACCAGTTCCATTTATATATCGGATTATGTTTATCTTCCTTTTCTACAAACCATACCTGTATAATTAAAACGCGGAACACCATTCAAACTTCTGACGGTGAATATAATGAGTCGGATGCTCGAGCTCCATTCTACACTGCGCTACCGACTAGCATAATTAATGGAAAGCTATTCTCATTTTGGTCATTCAATTAATGAAATGATTTGTTTAGATTTTTAACTGATTACAAAAATGTCGATGTTGTTTTATGTTGGTGATTTTTTTGTTTTATTTCTTTGTAAATGAGCTTATTCACAATGTGAATATGTCGCTCCGTTAATTTATCACCAAAAACAAGTACATTAGGTATACTTAAACTTCTTACATTATAAAGTTCTCAAATCCGTAATTAATTACAAAAAGTAGAAGATATGCATTTAGTTACAAAAAATAAAATGAAAAGTTCTCAGATCAATCACATTGAGAAGTGAGTGATCGATCCGTGAACATCATCTTGTAAAGTATGAGTGTTGATGATCGATTAGATTTTATCTTTTTAGGTATATAATGTATGAAATAAAATACATTCGAGATTAGTTGAGAAATTATAGATTTTTTTATAGGATAGGATGACAAACGAGCACAGTCCACCTGATGGCAAGTGGTTGCTGTGGCCCATAGACATCTACATCTATCCTCGATTAAGAATCAAAACGCAGATGCGTTGTCATCCACGAGGACTTAGGTGGAATACCCCGTTCCCAGTAAAAAGGGTCTCCGGTTCTCTACACTCACCATACGAAACACAGCAGCATTAAGCTACTATTTGACGCTGGTATTCTGTGAGAGCGTGGTCCTTCCCCGGTCGACCCGACCCATTCGTGCTACAACTATACTACTAATATAACTGCAGCCGGCTCTACCAAGTAAAAAATTCTTTGTCACTGAAAGGCTATATTTTTAGACTTGCATTTTATCATTGTCAACCTGCGGTCTCTCGCACCGCACTCGCATAGAACACCAGCATGTTAATCTGGACCTGAAGCGTGTTTCGTATGACGAGGTCCGGATACCATTTTTCCTGTTAACGAGGCATTCCATCTAAGCTCTCAAGGGTAAACATATCAATATTGTCATTGTTATTCAAGTTTTCCGAAGCTTAAATATTTAATTTTACAATGAAATGCTGTCGGGAATATAGTTCAAAAAACCGATAATCCGACGGGGAAGAAGAGTTCTCATGTGGCAGCCTCGTACCGATAGCGGAGACGACCTACTAAGAAAGCCATGAAGTCGATGCATGCAGGTGGCTCAGGGCCGTGATTTGTGACATTCCTCGGGTGAGGTCTACGCTGTAATGATCCTGATGCTGATGATGATGATGAACAACTATATTTAAATAAAACGCTTACACATATTATACAAAATCATTTTAATTAATAATTCAAACACACAAATAATAATAGGAATTAGTAATAATATCGACAAAAATTATAATAAGTCAATTAACAATACTTACAAAGTCACATTAGGTGTTTAATTAAGGTAAAATTTTAATATCTTAAATTCTAAAGAGCATTATATTTTTCTCTAAATTAATATCCATCACATGAACATGTACAAAAATTATAAATTATTCATAATCGTACAAATGCAAAAATATAATTTTATTCACGTAAATTATTGCCTTAAAACACTTCAAATACACACCAAATATCAAAGCTAAATCAATAACAATCTTACTAAAAATAGAATAAATTTAAAATTAAACATAGACTATAAAATATAAAAACACGACTTACCTCAGTATAAAATTAAATACAATCAACTTGTCTCCCGTAAGACAATATTACTATTTTGTCTTAAATTATGAAATTAAAGCTGGCAAACCTTTATTAAAAACATTATAATTCTTAGGCAGAAAATGCAATTCTAAAATGGATAGCGGCTTTTACAATATAGTTATAAATAGGCCAAGCTTAATATTTTTACAATTTCAATGACAGCAGTAAAATGTTTCCCTTGTTTTAAATTTGTATGTGTTGTATGGTTCCTAAAAACGTTACTGAACAATATTAATGTAATATTATTTAAAAAAAAAACACAATATATATATATAGTTTTTAATAATATACTATATATATATGCATTACATAGCTGTTAATTTAAATACTTATTGTAAACCAAATATTAGGCAAAATAAAATTAATGCCAAGAAATATTAAATCATATTCAAAACACGTTATATCATACGCAGCGCGTATGAAAACGTTTTTGATAGTTAGAACTTTTTTTCTTATTTTTTTGTATCGATTTTTTACTAAAAACAGTAAAACATCGAACAAACTTGTTGTACAAGATTTAAAAAAATTAGGGAATTAGAAAAAAAATACTAACACTTAGCTTAATTTGAAACTTATCTTTAGTCACAGTATAGAAGAAACGCGAGTCAAAATAGTAGGCAAGATAATTAATAGAATATGAATGAAATTTGCTATATCAAATTCTAAAATAAAGCTATTACATCATTTGAAATATAGAATTATAATCGCCGCTAAATGAAATCCAACACATTTTTAGTAGTGACCAAACTACGAAAAGAATATTATATATATATATATATATATATATATATATATATATATATATATATATATATATATGTATATATATATATATATATATATATATATATATATATTCCTTTGACAAACAGAAATAATATTGTAATTATAGCTTTATGGCTCTAATAGTAGCGATTATATTGATAAAGATAAAAGCTTTTCACCTGTATATGTTTTTCTTGGTCATCAATATCTTATAAACTACATAATATAAGATTAATTTCGTTACATAGTTCTGTAATAAATCTTAGTGTTAATAAAATTATACAAGACAAAGGACATTTAGAATCAAACTTTACATTACAATTTTAAGTGGCTATTTTTCTACAAAAAAAAAAATCTCATACACATTTCTATCGTACTCGTTTAATAATTTTGTTGTCAAGTTGAAGACCAACAAATCGATTGAAAGTTACCTTGGTAACTTCACTTTTGGTAAAAACACTGCTTTGATAAAAATTAACTAATGAAAGCTAATTTGGCCGAAATTCATATAGAATTGTATAATCACAAAATATATTATTTATTAAAATAGTAGTAAGTTAGTTAGTACAAGAAAATATAAGAATATATTCGTCACTTTTAAATCTCAAGTTATAGGGTTTAAATATCAGTCAGAATAGAGATAACAATAAATATTGTGATGGACGTCATTAAAGATGAGATTAGTTAGTTTGCATTTTACGTTTCAATATTGTGTTTCCTTAAGTTCCAATTTCACACCGCTGTGTTTCAATCGAGTGTCACTTTATATTCCAATTTTAAGCCACCATTTATTCAATAATCTTTCCGTTGTTCGTTTTATCATTGTCTCCGTGCAGCAGGAGCGATTGGTCTGGAGTACGGGTGCGTCTGAACTCGTTCGCGCGCTCGCACTGCTTTGTAACCAACTGATTTCTGAGTGTCGCTTCCTTTCATGCGTGAGTTCACGGCTGTTAGTTTGTTAGTGGACAGGACACGCACATGGAATAGACGATTTAGTTGTTAGTTCGATATAAAACTATTTGTAAATTGGGTACTTGTGTAACTTAATTGTTTAGTAAAATAACAAATAAAAAAACATGTGCAGTTCACACGCAGCAGATGAGAAACCTTTAGAAAAATAAACTTAGAAAATGAGACGAATTCACAGTAAATTCTATTGTATTCTCTTTTTAACGTCGCTTTTATGTTTTATCGACTTTCAAATCACAGATCTAAAGAAGTTTCTCTTTAATGATGACTAGAAAAGTGAGCAAAATAAGTCAATACTCAATCTTTCAGTTATCTTTAAGTTTAAACACATTTTTAAGTATCGTGAGATAGTTTGTTTGAAATTTAAATCAAACCACCTACTCATTAACTTCCTGCATATCTTAGCAGATTGTTGCTCCACCAAACGAAGGGCAGCCCAACACTTCAATTACCAAGATGAGGTTGCCTTTCAAGAACCTTTCTTCCCCATCATTGTCAGTTTTTCGAGCTATATGGCCAGCCCACTGTCACTTTAGCTTACTGATCCATTGGGTTATGTCGGTTACTCTGGTTCTATAGTCAATGTCAATTAATGCAAACACTGTCAAATACCCAATTTACAATTCCAATATTATAATAGTAAGGTATATTATTTATGAGTATATAATATACTTTATTTCCTACCAGTAATCAAATAAATGTTATTGCTGTCCAACCTCTTTTATTCATTCTACAAGACACAGAACACAAGACACACTTCAAACTACATCAAGTTAATACAAATACGACTGACAAATAAATTGTTTTAAGACTAATCTTTCTACCATGACAACATTCATCTGACAAATTACTTTTATCATATTATGAAAAACTATTGGTTTGGATCTAACGATACTATGTCATCAATTTAAATTTGCCAAGAAATCTGAGTAGGTACTACCTATTTCTGCCGCCAAGTAGCAGTGCGTGTACAGCTGCACGTATAGACACCGCTAAAGGGTATATAAAGCTAGGTATTATTACAGGCTGGAAGGAATTCCATATTAATCTTCAGCGGTGATCTATAGCCATCTTTGTTTGAAGTTGGTCGGCTGCATGTGTCAACGAACTGCAATAGCTACTTTGGCTTTAGTGTCTGTTGCTTCCTACTAAATTCAGCCATGATTCTACGAGAGTGAACTTTCTCTATTTGAATTATTATACGTAACTAGCGATCCGCCCGGGCTTCACACGGATGATTTCTGGATTTCGACAACAGCGCCACCTACCGGTTCCAAAAATTTACATTTGGAGCCGGACAAACCATCTTCGAACCCATTCAAACACACACAAAAAAATTCATCATATCAGCAATTCATAGTTTCAAAACCTATGACAGACACAGGTATAGTATGTGTCAAATCGATTGAGAAAAACGGACAATGACCTCTGATATGAGCAGAGTGTCAGAAGGCGTAACTTACAAAATCTCAATTTAGATGTGATAACAATATTTAAATATTGATATTATTCACACTTCTAGGTCAGCACATATGTTTTGTTTTTTTGTTTCTTAAATAATATTGTTTGTGGATCCTATAAACATCGTAAAATCTTACAGTACATCGCGAAAAATGTGTTATATTTTATATTTCAATTTATGGTAAGTAACACAGCAATTCATTTAATAACAGTTTCATATAAAAAAAAAAAATTTTGAAGCAATATAATCACCATATTAAGCTTTTGCAAATTCATTCCTTTAAAATAAACAAAACGCGCGTTATACATAACGCACAAACAGAAACGTGACAATGGAAGAGATGCGTCAACTTTTTTTGGGCCGGTCCGCATGCACCGAATAAAAATAAAGTTCTTACATTGAAAATTTTACTTACATTCTTATATTGAAAATAAAGTTTTATCTTTTGAATAAGTACGTACTTATTCGGTGTCGTTATCACTCGAATCTCTATATGTGTTATAAATTAATGCTTTTTGTTGTTAAATGAATAAAGTAGTTTATAACAATAGATGATTTTTCTTCTACAGCGATCTTTTACATAACTTTTTAATAATAGTTAATAAATATATATTATATCAATAATTATAAAAATAATAATAAAAAAATCATTATAAATAAAGTACTACATATAAAATGTACCTAAATATTGAAGATCTGTAACCCCTGATTAAACGACCGAAAGGTCATTGTCCGTTTTTCTTAATCGATTTGGCACATACTATAGAAACATTTATGTATTTTATATTATACGTGATTTACTATCTAAATACTAATGCATAGCTGTATCATAAAAAATACCAAATTTTAACTACCCACACCAGTACATAACCAGGCAAACAAATCACCTAATAATATTGTATAATTACCTTGCACATTCCTTTGCAGTGGGATGCCATCTCTCGATAGACTAGAGCCGAATCCTGGCGCTGGACGACTTCCATTCATGGTTGGAGGAACGCGGCGCAACGGTATAGCTTTACCCACTACAGGCTTGACGATTTTAGCCGCTGTGAGAATTTAAAAAAAGGTTATTTTTATGAACGCATTAATCCTTTTCAGTTTAGTACATCGGCGGAACACTTGCTCATGCGCCGCGTCGTCGCCCAGGTTATTCTGTTACTTCTTCGTAAGAATTATTAGGCTTTTTAAAAATTAGAAGTCAATCCTAATGTTAAATGTGGCGCGTCAGAGAGATAAGTTATTTCATGACGTGCGACAGAAAGAGGGGCGCACCTTGCAGGTAAAAATAATTTTAGGCACTCAGCGCTGTGCAAGCTGAATTGCTCTTTATTGCGTAGTATAAAGCGTCACTAATTAATGAAATGTTTTTGCGGAGTGATCTTTCTCCACCTTGTACTAAGTATTTTGTGATTTAGCTAAGTGCCTTAGAGGATATGCCCAGTGGATAACTCTAACACACCGAAACTAAGCTTTATAATTAAGAGAAGATAATAATAATGATAATAATGTCCTCCAGATCGAATTTCGGCCACGGCGGCCTGCCTCAACGAAGGCTAGCCATCGGCGCAGGACAGGATTACAGTGCCCAAGTGTATGCGCAAGCACAAGTGCACTCACTATTTCCTCACTCTCATAATCCGATGGGACGGTAAACCAACATGACCGGAGAGAGATCAGGCGCAGGACCAACGGCTTTACGTGCTTTCCGAGGCACGGGGGTGAGCCACCGCCAACTTCCTGACTTCGGGCAACTACTGAGAATTTCTTGACGGAAAAACTCAATAATTAACAACAATATTAACAATACTATAAACATTACTAAAATCCACCATTAACCACTCGTGGTAAGCTTAAATTGCTTGTGTTACGAGTGGTTCACGCCAGTAGTTGAATGGCGGATTCGAACCCACGACCTTTTTGAGTTCGCGTCCGCGCCCTGCCATTAGGCTACTGTCGCTTCAATTAAAGAAGATATCCGCATGGTGTCTATATATCCGGAAAATTATCTGTTTTCTCCTTAAATAATGGTACTAGAGTAATTTTTTTATAGGATAGGATGACAAACGAGCACAGTCCACCTGATGGTAAGTGGTTTTTGTGGCCCATTGACATCTACATCTATCCTCGATTACGAATCAAAATGCAAATGCGTTGTCATCCGTGAGGACTTAGGTGGAATGCCTCATTTCCAGTAAAAAGGGTATCCGGTTCTCTACACTCACCATACGAAACACAGCAGCATTAAGCTACTATTTGACGCTGGTATTCTGTGAGAGCATGGTCCTTCCCCGGTCGACCTGACCCATTCTTGTACAACTATACTACTAATATAACTGCAGCATGGCTCTACCACTCTGAAAATGTATGTAAATGGAGAGGTTCAAAGTAAATGCCCGTGACAATAACGCTTATGGCTCTATAATATCTTCTGCAAATTGATAGCCACCCAGTGATTCAAAGTTGTTATTGAAGTCCAAATCATGTAGTAGGGCATCCCTTAACAAAAGAACAAAATAATATAAACCATGCGCTTTCTAAATACGACGGAATCTTGTTAAAGTTAATTGAAAATGACCGTTCTAAAGTGAAGTAGGGTTAGCAAACTAGTACTAAATATTTAACAATTATTCCTTTGTATGAACTACTTTCTACTTTACTTAGATTTATTTATTTGAATAGATCCTTAGCTAACTGTTATTGCGTTAGAAGGCCGATTTCATTCTTGTTCGAAATATACAAGCAACTCTCAATTGTCAGAATTATTTCGCGTGTTAAAATTTTCATAATTCTAACGGGCGAAATAATTTTCTTCCTTCTTTAATATCTATAATAAATCTCATAATAGCGAAGAAAATAATCATACTAAACACGAGCGAAAATCCACGTCAAATAATATATGTCAATCGTCCGCAAACTATGACTCGATTTTGCCGACGTTATGGCTGGCGGGCGACCAACGCGAGTCTCAGGTTTTAAAATATTGCATCCCTAAGTCAAAGATATAAATTCCAGCATTATGAACACGCGCGGATTATAATAACACATTTTCTCATAACAATATAAACTACAAAAATCTCACCTTTATCATTAAAATTCAGAGCCCTCTGTATTGTATTAGTCCTGTCGAAGAGTCCTTTCTTCACTGGTAGATTTACATCAGTCTTCATAACCTCAGTCTGCATTGGCTGCTTCTTCAATGCTTCAATTTTTTCATTAAGAACAAAAGTCGAATTTAAGTTATTGGGATCGATTGCAGAACCATAATTCTCAATGTCAAGCTCTGTGTCATATTCCTTTTTGATTTTCTTCGCAGAGTTCAAATTTCTGGTTGAGTCTAGCAGGTCCAAAGAATCGTTGATTATAATTGTCTCGTTATTAGCAAGTTTTATCGGTGTTCCTTTACGTTTGTTGGCCATAGACTGTAAGGGATCGCGGTTCTCGATGTCAGTCAAGTCTTCACTGTCAGTCGCAATGTCGATAGTCATGTTAGCATCTTTCTTTATAGCTGTATTGAAGTCAATAGTTGTCGTAGGTTTTTCGAGGTCTAAAGTTGAAACGAATTTGAAATGCGCATCGCTCTCCCTCTCTTTGTCTGACCAAGTGATACCTTTGGCCGATTTAGCCTTTTTCATTATCTCTAAATACTCCGCTGTCAATGCAGGAGTTGCCTTGTCGTATCCTTTAAGCGTCAAATATAGTTTCTTGAGCATACCAGACATATCACTCACATACTCTGTGAAGGCATTTATTTCCTCATTCTCTATACACAACAATTTGTGTCTAAGGTTATCTCTAGCTCTGACAAGTCTCATTTCGCTTTGTTGTTGTACATTTTCAACGAACTTTTGCAGCTCAGGGCATTCACTAAGGGCCTGATTGAATAGAACTTGCATTTTCTGTCGACTTTCGTTCCATTTAGTCCATGAGACTTTGATTTTAGTATCCAAGTGCACAGATTTCACAACATAGTTCTCTGCTGCTCTTTCTTGGCGTGGAATCTCTTCTGTACACACCTAGAAGAAAAAAATCTTTGTAATCTAATCTATTTTATATACTTGTCCCTAATCACTCCACACCTAGACACGGCACTCTGATACAGTTGAGAATACTTGCAAGAATTATGTTATATTTTTTATTGGTAATGTTATAGTATCTATGTGCCTCTTTCAGATTGGACAAGATTTTTTTTTAAATATCATCATGATCACTGAGTTAAAATACACGGTATAATTAATAAACTCATTATTTTAGGTATGCATATGTGTCCAGCAGTGAAAATTTATAGGCAATTAAAAAAATTAAGAAAAAGATGTGTGCGTGAGTGTTGAGTTTGGTGACATGGTTTCGGCATCACATGAAATGTACCTCTTACATTTCTTTGTTGGTCTGAGGTGTGAATAAATTTTATTTTTATCATGATATTTTTAATTTGAGATATTCTAAAACTTTTACTTCTCGTTGCTAGTAACATAGACCATAATCACATAAACCATATCATACAACATAGACCATATCAGCTCTGCACAGGGAGGACGACTCACTGGCCCACACCGCAAAGCGAGAAAGCCGATCTTCTAGGCTCTTTCTTTGCGTCTAACTCGACTCTCGATGACGGGGGGAGTACGCCGCCGACCATCCCGCGGTGTGAGTGCTCCATGCCGAAAGTGCAGTTCACTCAGCGCTCGGTTCGTAAAGCACTCCTCTCCCTGGACATCCACAAGTCGAGTGGGCCTGACGGAATCCCCCCAATTGTGCTGAGGACGTGTGCTCCGGAGTTGGCACCGGTTTTAACGCGTCTTTTCCGGTACTCCTACTCCCTAGGCGTAGTCCCAAAATCATGGAAGACGGCTTTCGTCCACCCGATCCCTAAAAAAGGCGACCGCTCAGACCCGTCCAACTACCGGCCTATCGCCATCACCTCTTTGTTCTCCAAAACAATGGAGTCCATTGTAAACTGCCAGCTCATGAGGTACCTTGAGGATCACCAGCTGATTAGTGACCGCCAATACGGTTTTCGCCGTGGTAGGTCAGCTGGTGATCTTCTGGTCTACCTAACTCACAGATGGGCGGAGGCAGTAGAGTCCAAGGGGGAGGCATTGGCCGTTAGTTTGGACATTGCGAAGGCCTTCGATCGGGTTTGGCACAAAGCGCTTCTTTCGAAGCTCCCTTCCTATGGGCTTCCCGAGAAATTGTGCGATTGGATCACCAGTTTTCTTGCAGATCGGAGTATCAAGGTCGTTGTAGACGGTGCAAGCTCCGATTGCAAGCCTATTAATGCTGGTGTTCCACAGGGCTGCGTGCTATCGCCAACGCTGTTTCTTCTGCATATCAATATGTTGCAAACCCGTAGCATTCATTGCTATGCAGATGACAGCACTGGTGATGCTCTTTACACCGGCCGAGCCAATATTTCTCGGGAAAACGTCTCTGAATGCCGGGACAAACTTGTGTCTGAAGTCGAGTCTCTGCTGGACAGTCTCGGATTGGGGGCGACTAAATCTAGTCCAGTTTAACCCCCAGAAGACACAAGTTTGCGCGTTAACCGCTAAAAAGAACCCCTTTGTCGTATCCCCTCAGTTTCAAGGCACTCCCCTTGTTGCCTCAGCCAGTATCGGAATCCTCGGCGTCGACATATCGAGTGACGTGCAGTTTCGTGGTCACTTGGAAGGGAAGGCCAAATTGGCCTCTAAAAAGCTTGGCGTGCTCAGCAGAGCGGGACAGTATTTCATGCCGGCACACCGCCTGCAACTTTACAAGGCGCAGGTTCGGCCGCTCATGGAATACTGTTCCCATCTCTGGGCTGGGGCTCCCCAGTACCAGCTCCTTCCACTTGACCGCATCCGGCGCAGAGCGGCTCGAATCGTCGACGACCGAGTGCTTTCCGATCGGCTCGATTCACTGGCGCTGCGAAGAGATGTTGCATCTCTTTGCGTATTTTATCGCATCTATCACGGGGAGTGCTCTGAGGAATTGTTCGGATTAATCCCAACCGCCAAATTTCGTGAACGCACTACACGGCAAACGTCCCGATACCATCCACACCATCTGGATGCTTGGCGGTCCACCACTGTACGTTTCAAAAGGAGTTTTCTTCCGCGTACAACCTCTCTGTGGAATAATTTACCACCGGCGATTTTTCCGGACCGATACGACCTGGGGACCTTCAAGAAAAGAGCTTACTCCTTTCTAAAGGGCCGGCAACGCACCTGCAATTCCCCTGGTGTTGCGGTTGATCATGGGCGGCGGTAGTCACTTAACATCAGGTGAGCCACATGCTCGTTTGCCCCCTCTTCTATAAAAAAAAAAGTAACATCATATACGTGAAATTGACTAGTTGATTAAATAGTAGATTAATGAACTCTGAGGTCTTGATAACCTTAAAAAAACGTCTTACAACATCAGCAGTATAGATAGGAATTGTTTTAAATAGCTACTAAAAGCTAAATAGCTCTTCTAGTACATAAAATAAGCCATACCTGTTCCATAGCTTCAGAGGATGACCTATGAGCCAAATCAGCAACGTGACTGAAGGCACACGTACGCAAGCGGTGACGTAAGGCTAACACTCGCTGCCTCGTCATTAGCCCCAGTAGTTCATTTTCCAGGGTGCTATGTACCGCCTCTGCTTCAGATATACGCTGTCGCCACTCAAGTTGCACTGTAATATAGCATTTTGTTAGGGTCACTTAACGTCGCCTTGTTAGTCTAGTGATCATGATGGGCTAAAATCAGTTATTGCGTTTTGCTAGCCCGTATCCGTAGCAACTTGCGCCTAATCTCGCTCTGATTAGAGTCGAATTGTCAGTTTTTCTGAGTATGAAAGTGAGGGAAAAGAGTTCCATGGCTATGATGTAGATATGTCGCAGTAAGATGGTTAAAGCCATGATATAATATATAATAGTTAGGGATATAGCTATATACCGGAATATACTTATATAGCAGCAGTTCCTAACTATCTTACTAGACTAATCTAGTGAAATAATTATATTTGTAAACTGAATGTACAGGAGCACACTTTGTGTACAAAACGTTCATGTTATTTATGGAGTATTGTTGTGGTGAATGTTACTGATTGTAACTGTTGTGCAATTAATGTAACGACGAAAAAAATATTCAGGACAAAAGAGATAAATCTGTAGCAATTTAAAAAAAAATGCTGAAAAAAATTAAAAAAAGTGTCCTCCAACTAATTTCGCGACATTGACATTGGTTCTTCAGTTCCTGTTGTATTTTTGTTCATGTTAGTTTTTTGACAGTAGGTTTAAGGTGTGGGTAGGGTGGCCCGTGGACCACCCTAAATACGGGTACATTATAATTATATAAAATATAATATTGAAAGAATTAAACTTTTAAATTTAAAAAGTATAAATCAAAAGTAGTTTTGACTAAGTCAACATATACAACATGTAACATAATTAACACACTTTGAGAAAGTAGTTTGTTCCGAATTGTTTACTGAATCTATTCCTATCATTTTTAATATAGGTAATTTTTATCCCAAAAATAATTAAAACTATGTAAATTACAGTCACACTAAATCTGTACAGTCAAAACAAACTGAAATGTACCATAACTTAAGGCAATAAGACTTTTAAGAGTGCAGTTTTATTTGTATTATTACTAATTCTGTCATTCAATAAAAATAAAGAAAAATTAACTTTATTTCAAGGATGTTAAAGTCTTTGCATTCGTGGATTTGTACTGTGACCACAACATTCTTCCGGAATTAGTATAACTAATTTGATAATAAAAAAAAAAAGTATTATAATTATAACATAATATACTAATTGGGGTGTCTGAGGGTGTGCGTTAATTACGTTACATAATGTATAATTATTTAGTCTAGTATGATAATTATATTACTAGATCATGCTCATGTCATAGTTATATTCCGTATCATAGTTCTATTTCCCTAGAGATATAACTATATCTTCAGGGATATCCATATATTTTGTATGTGGTAGAGCTACGCTGCAGCTATAATATGGTTGTGACACGAATGGGTCAGTTCGACCTGGGAAGGACCACGCTCTCACAGAATACCAGTGTAAAATAGCAGCTTAATACTGCTCAAAAACTTTCTAAAGGTCGCTATTAAAAAAATATGCGTCTGTCCATAACCTTTAGAAGGTTGCAATTTACTTATAAACTTCAGACACAAAATAGCCGTAGTAAATGCTGAAATGTAAATGTATCTGTATATCCCTCTAACTCGTACAACATTGTTTTAATATCACTAACCTACTTATCTCGGTATGGAGTTGTCACTATTGAAGTACAAAATGTGCCTTTTTTGTGCCTGTTTCGGGTCATATTAAGTGGCCCTTAAGTGGACATTATTGTCCAGCTTATGGTGTAAAAAAAATTTACGCAGAGTTGTGTTTTTTTAATTAATTATTCAAAGTGTATTTATCTTATTGTAAATAAAATAAATATTTATTGAAATAATTGTTTTTTTTTTTACATTTTTTATTCACCAAACTGGAAAAAATCGCTTTTAGCATTTTTACCATGGAATTTAGAAAAAATAAAAAAGGTGAATGTACACATTTACATATATTCTATTAGCTTACTTAACAACAATTCTAACAACATATTATTTTATAGTTTCCACTCATAATTATTAAGATATTGCCATTTTAATGACACGCGCAACGTAGGCAATAAATCACTCGTTTAGGGTTGGATAGTATGCGCCAAAGCGACCGTTTGGGCCGGGACAGTTGAGAGAATATGGTGAGTGTAGAGATCCGGACCTTTTTATACCGGAAACGAGGCATTCCATCTTAGTCCTCAGGGGTGACAACGTATCTGCATTTTGATCCTTAATCGAGGATAAATATAGATGTCTAATGGCCATAGCATCCAGTTACCATCAGGTGGACTGTGTGCTTGTTTACCACCCTTATTCTATGAAAAAACATCACAGTTTCAACCATTTTACTGAGACAGATTGACCATTTTACTGCGACACTTGTCTTGTAGATAGATAAGCGACAGTAAAACGGCACGCAATTGGGAATGAAAGATAGATAAGAGTTGAAGATAAGAGTAGAGAGAAGTCCTGCCGCCTAATAAAATTAGGTAAAATATAGATATACACCAGTATGACATGACATGCATGTTGTGAATTTAATTAATTTTATTTTACATTATAGTAAAATATCCATAAGAGCCAACTGTCACAAGAAAATTTATACGTTATAAATTGATTATAAAATGATTACTTACTCTTTTCATTAACTGAATCACTCTCTTTAACTGTAGACTTAACATTGGATAATGATAACTTTGCTTCCAATTCTTTAACCTTCTTCTTTAGCTCTTCACATATCTTTACATACTGAGATAGTCTTAAATCACCATCAACTATGTTCTTCTTTATATTCAGTTGTATTTTGTTTGCCCGAGCTGCATACTTGAGTGTGTTATATGTGTCCTCGTAACTTGCATGTGATGGGGATATATTTGCAATCATAACGGTCTTACAGTTTCCACCAAGGCTATCTTTTAAAAGACGAGTTAGTTTTGAGTCTCTGTAGAAAATAAACCTTATCATTTTATCAATTTAGGAAGAATTTTTAAAATTATTATTATCTCAAACTTATTATTATCTCAAACTTATCATAATCTCTAACTTTTTTAATATCTCTTTTATATCACTATCATAATCTTTTTTCAACCTACTTCAAAAACGAGGAGGTACCCAATTAGACTGTATTTTTTTTTTGTGTGTGACCTCAAAACTTTTTTCTATGTGAATCGATTTTGATAACTCTTTTCTTATTTGAAAGCTGGTGCTTGTGCACGGTGGCGAACCCTCCATAGAAGCCCCGAAGCCGGGTTTGCCCTATTAAACTGCTCAATCAATAAGATCAACTAATAAAATAACCTGTTTCAAACTATTTCAAATTTCCCGCGCGCTCTCTGTTCTAGACAGGTCATGACCTCGTAGCATGTATGTCACGTCAACACTTGGCTTGCTTTCAATTCGAAATACACTAATTCGTGTTCTTTCTGTCCCAAAGCGAACACGCAATGGACTGTCAAAATAAAGGAGTTGATTTATTCGTCTCTCACGCACGCCTTGGCTTTTTACCGGGCTTTCGAGAAGACGATCGCTCTCTTTCTTACCCGTGGCTAAATGTTCTATAATGAAATATAACTACGAAATGTTTATATACAATTACTATGTTCTGAAGTTGTTTAAGAGTGCGCGGGCGTGCGGGCGATACGTTTGCAAGTTTCATTTTACATTTCCAATGTTTATGTTTGTTTTTGTTGTGTCTGTTGAAAATTTATGCTTTTTCAAAGATTTTTAATGCTTTTTCAAAGATAATAGTGTTAGAGAGTAGAGAGTAGAGTAGAGTAGTAGTAGAGTCCTGTACCTATTAAAGTATGAAGAAATGTTTATTGAATTAAAATTTAATTTTTAAAGATTTTTCCTTTTCCTCGCCGATTAGCACTTTAACACACTTATATTCATCACAAGGAACACTATTATCCTCCTATTTTCACTAAAAATCTTTGAAAAAGTGTTTGTTAATTAAAGTGTCAATTTTGGTAATTCAATCGGCAGTTTTTATTAAGTTTTTACTAAGCTCGTAATATTACCATACGAGTTAAAAATATCATTTTGTACGGTTTATTAAAATTGAAAATGAATAATTATATAATAAATAGTCATTACTTTATAGTAAAAAAAAAATTGCAAAGCTTTATCTTTTCATTATACCATATCTAATTCCTGTCGTAATCTGTTCTTCTATGGATATAACTTAAACAAACTAATTTCCGATGTTTCGCATCTGCCAGGCGTTTTTTTTTTAATTTTGTACATTGTTTGTACTTTGTTCATGCTTTTCTTTAGTTCATGTATTGTATTATATTGGGATTGGGAGTGTATCGACGAGGGTTACGACGACGAGGGACGAGGACCTTATACTCAGAATCACCAAACGGTATCCTCTGAAGGTCGTAGACGTTTACGCACCAACGTCGGAACATCCCAATGAGGAGGTGGAGGACATTTCCTCCACCTCCTCATTGGGATGTTCTGAGGACATTTCTAAAGCCATGCATTCCTCCAAAACTCACTATACGGTGTTAATGGGAGACTTCAACGCAACACTGGGCACAAGAAAGAACGGTGAGCTAAAGGTAGGGAAATTTAGGATAGGGCAACGGAACCCAAGGGGCCAGCAGCTGGCCGACTTCATGGAAAAAGAGGGACTTTTATGATGAACTCTTTCTTCCAGAAGCGGCCCCACAGAAAGTGGACCTGGTCGAGCCCCCGACGGTTCGACAAAAAACGAGATTGACTTCATTATGACGACCAGACGCCAACTGTTCAGTGATGTCTCAGTGATCGCAAGGGTGAAAACTGGCAGCGATCACCGAATGGTTAAAGGCACACTGAACCTAAACGTTAAGTTGGAGAGGTCTCGTCTAATAAGTCAACGCTCCATCCCCGTCGTGCTCTAATCCAGAATACCGAAACATTTTAGCTCAAGTTACGTAACCGCTTTCAGTGCCTAGATCCTAGAAGATTGCAATGCAGTGGACGATATGAATGACAAGCTCGTGGAAACTGTCCATGCGGTCGGAGTTAAGTTCTGCAAGACCCGCCGCAGAAATACACAAAAACTCTCCGATCACACTCTTAATCTCAAGGCTGTTAGACGGGAGATGAGGCTGCAATCGGCAACAGATTTGACAGCATACAGGCAACTGAACAGACAGATCTCCAAATGCATGCGGCGAGACTTACGCAACTTTAATACTGCTCATATTAAAGAAGCGATCGAGCGGAACCAGGGCTCCAAAGTCTTTGCCAGAGATCTGTCTGCCAGAAAGAGCCAACTGTCAAAGCTGAAGACCGAATGTGGCAGCATCGTTTCCGGGACACCTGAGATTTTGAGTAAGATTGAGAGGTTCTATGGGCAGCTGTATAAATCATCGTTGGAGCCACACGCAAGTGTGAGTAACGATCCAAGAGTAAGTCTTATCCGACACTATGTAATCAACAAACACACACCTTAAAAACGGCAGGGCCCCAGGCAAGGATGGAATTACAGCGGAGCTCCTGAAAGCGGGTGGAACACCGGTACTTGAAGTCCTTCAGAAGCTCTTCAATTCCGTCCTCCATGGTGGCACTACTCCGGAGGCGTGGAGCAGAAGTGCGGTGGTCTTGTTCTTTAAGAAAGGCGACAACGCTCTCTTAAAGAAAAATTTTCCTTCTGAGCCGCGTCTACGTGCTGTTTTCGAGAGTCATTACGAATCGTCTCGCACGCAGACTCGACGACTTCCAGCCTCCCGAACAAGCCGGTTTCCGAAAAGGTTTCCGTACCATAGACCACATACATACCCTGCGGCAGATTGTACAGAAGACGGAAGAAAACAATCTGCCACTTTGCATTGCGTAACTGGACTATGAGAAAGCCTTTGATTCCGTCGAAGTTTGGGCGGTGCTACAGTACCTTCAGCGGTGCCAAGTTGACTGTCGGTATATCGAAGTGCTGAAGGTACATAGGGACCATACCTATCCCCGAGAAGGGACGTTATATCCCCAAAACTCTTCACCGCTGCATTGGAAGACGTTTTCAAGCTACTGGGCTGGAAAGCATACGGTATTAACATCAATGGCGAGTACATCACTCACCTTCGATTTGCCGACATATAGTCCTTATGGCAGAATTGCTGGAGGACCTAAGCACTATGCTCAATGACCTCAATGGTGTCTCCCAACGGATGTCCAACTTCGACCGAGAGGTCAATCGACAGATTCAACTAGGCTGGGCAGCGTTCGGGAAATTACGACACATCTTCTGTCAGGTACACCTCAATCTCTGAAAACTGGATTGTACAACCAGTGCGTGTTGCCAGTGATGACTTACGGATCTGAGACGTGGTCCTTCACTGCTGGCCGTATGAGGACGCTCAAAGTCGCTCAGCGAGCTATGGAGAGGGCTATACTCGGAGTTTCTCTGCATGATAGACTCAGAAATGAGGATATCAGCAGTAAAACCAGAGTGACCGACATACCCCAACGGATTGAGTGGAAGATAAAGTGGCAATGGGCCGGCCATATAGCTCGAAGAACCGATAACCGATGGGGAAGAAAGGTTCTCGAGTGGCAGCCTCGTAGCGGTAGGCGTAGTGTAGGGCGACCCCCTACTAGATGGAGTGACGACCTGGTAAGATATGCAGGAAGTCGATTGATGCAAGTGGCTCAGGACCGTGCCTTGTGGCATTACTTGGGGGAGGCCTATGTTCAGCAGTGGACTTGTGAAGGGCTGTAATGATAGTGATTGTATTATATGTAAATATCTTTTTCTTTCGCTCAAGCAAACCCAAACGGCTCTTTTCAGAGCCAACAAAGGTATGCAATGGCATATGTCATACAATCTATCTAGCAGTAGTATGCCTTCTGTGTTCTTTGTTAAACACTGTCCTTGACAGCACTGAATATGAAACTGAAGAGTGGAGACAGATCAAGATTTGTGTATTTGTATAAAACTGCTAAAAACAACAAAACCATATCTTAGGCTTGACCTAGTTTGGAGCCCTAGCTTCGCCACTGCTTGTGCATTGCTGGTGCTTGTATTGCAGATCTGACCGCAGTTTTTGGTTATCCTTAATAATGCATATTTAATAACTTTGACTACATTGATGATCTTTTCATTTTAGTTATATTGAAGTAGGTTGTACAAAATTTTTAATTTTACCACTTGTTTATTTAAAAATAAGTATTAGTTTATATGTCAAATATGACACCAAAGCAGAAAATACTGGGAATAATTAGGAAATTGTAAGATGACCTTTCAGAAAAAATATGAAATTAATAAATTTTCTAAATAGTTATGGGATATCCAGTAGGTCTTATTTCATGGGTGTCTGATGGTGGGGGATGAAACAGGAGTTTTATCCCAGTCTGACGAATGACAACTATTACGGCCATATTCTTCACATAATTTTTCTCACCTGTAGGGTATATAACTGCTACCATCTGCCAATTTATTTATACAATTCCCAAGTGACAGCAAACTCTTATTTATATTAGCCCCTTCTTTGAACCGGTCACCAATACATCCAGTAGCAGAGGCGCGTTCACTTCCTGCTAAATCTATCATGGATAGCTTCACAATACGTAGTTGACTGCTGGTTTTATACCTCATTTTTACATATACCTGTTAAAAATTAAAATTAGTAAGATTATAATTTTTTTCACTATTTTGGACAGTCAGAAATGTCAAAGTAGGCACATATGTCAATTCACAATGCTGTGTTGCAGAAAAAGCACAAGAGTAGAGTAAATACTATGTCTTCATGAGTTTAAGACTGAATGGAAATGACAGGATTAGAAAATGAGTGACAAGAGAAAAGTGTGGTTTGAAAGATGTTGTGATCAGGATTAAGAAAGTAATGCTCCAGTGCTTTGGTCATGTAGAAAGAATGGATGAGGAAAGTGACACAGCATATTTATCCTGTAGAAGTGAACGGCAGAGTTGGCAAGGGATGCCCTAGATGGAAGTTTATTGACCATCGATTAGCAATATATTGTAGATGGGCCAAATTTAGAGTACCCGTAAGCAACAAGCATGTATGCATAGATATATAAATATAAAGAAAACAAGAAAGGTGTGTTAGAATTGTGCCAAAGAGATGTGCATAGTCTCTGACTACCCCTCTGGGTGGCAGCAGTGAGTGTTAATATATATATATATATATATATATATATATATATATATATATATATATATATATATATATATATTAAATATCATCAGTTACATTTTTTTTACATAATATTGCAGATAATATTATATTATTTAGTAAATTTAATGTCTATTAAATTATGTGGCTTCCAATTTGCTTAATTAACAACCAGTTTGCCCTAATATTTTTGTGTATATAAGTGTTGGTGGTTGAAGATGGTAGATATATGAACACAGCTATTGTTACCTGTAAATGAAAAATGTTGGTGAGATTGATTTCACACAATTCTAGTTAAAAGATTTTTAACCTCGTCATAGGCAACTGTACCCAACCAATGCGTTAGTTTTTTTGCATATATTTAATTGCATAAGATACTTATATTTTAAGCGTATTTGTTTATTTTTAAAATATAAACCACATTTTACAACACAAATAAACAATGAAATTTATGAGTTAAAATGTAAGTTGTTTCTAAACTATTATATTTATCATAACATTCTATAGTAATGATAAATTTTCAAATATGATGATGATAAAATTTTCTGTATATGAAGTGCATTATCATAATGATGTACTAAAGTTAAAGACACAAAAAAAAAAAATAATATAGTTAGTATAAAAAGTTACAAAACCAGTTGAAATGTGAAATGACCCAAACAATAATAAGTTTTAATTTCAAAAATACATGTCAAGAATATATTTATTCTATCAATAATATATAAATATTTTATTTAATTATTATATATAAAAGCAGACTGACATGGGTAGGTACTGTCTGTACTGTGACAGATGTAGGGGCCACAATATCATTTCTTCTCCTTTTTTGAAGGAGGATTAAACTATAGGGATTTACGACATTTTAGAATAAAGTTAAGAACATAAAGCTTTTTAACCGAGAGATGTTGACTAATCTGATAGTGTTAGTAGAGGATCTATAAGGTTTGAAATACATGACCTTTATGAGAGATCTGGCAAAAAGCAGTATTGATCAGCATATTGCGACATTTTTTTTTAATTTTTTTAGGATAGGGTGACAAACAAGCACACAGTCCACTTGATGGTAAGTGGTTGCTGTGGCCCATAGGCATCTACATCTATCCTCGATTAAGAATAAAAATGCAGATGCGTTGTCACCCATGAGGACCAAGATGGAATGCCTCGTTTCCAGTAAAAAGGGTCTTCGGTTCTCTACACTCACCATACGAAACACAGCAGCATTAAGCTACTATTTTACGCTGGTAATCTGTGAGAAGAAACTCTGTGAGAGCGTGGTCATTACCCGGTCGAGCCGACCCATTCGTGCTACAACTATACTACTAATATAACTGCAGCATGGTTCCACTACATCTGTTACTGTGATCATCAATCTACCTGCTTAGTTTGGCGCTTGAGACAAATGCTCCCAATGGGGTTAAGGGTTCATGTCCAGCTTAGCCTTTTGAGGGCCGATGAATTAGATGAAAGGAATCACTAATAAGTTAATATATTATATATGTATCAAACAAACATAAATAGTATTTTCGGTGCAGATCTTTTAAGACACATTAATTGAAGAAATCTTGGAAAGTTTTTTTTATTGGATAGGGTGACAAACGAGCACACAGTCCACCTAATGGTAAGTGGTTATTGCGGCGCATAGACATCTACATCTAGACATCAAAATGCAGATGCGTTGTCACCTGTGAGGACTAAGGTGAAATGCCTGGTTTCCAGTAAAAAGGGTCTCCGGTTCTCTACACTCACCATACGAAACATAGCAGCATTAAGCTACTATTTTACGGTGGTATTCTGTGAGGGCGTGGACCTTCCTCGGTCGAGCCGACCTCTTCGTACTATAACTATAGTACAAATATAACTGCAGCATGGCTCTACTACGCATAAAAGTTCTATATAAAGAAAACAAATACCTGAAAGACAGCATGACTCCTGGAACTCTCAGCATTTGCATCAGTGGGATGTTGTGTTCTATTCTTATTTCCATTCTCAAGCATGTTTAAAAGCTCTCTAGCAGTGTTAATATTGTACAAAGTTAGCCCTGCTACCATGACACCGTATTTCGAGTCTTCCCGGAGTTGTAGTGGAGTTTTTGATGGTTTTAACAGGTCATAAACATTTTCATTATAAACCTGAAAGTGTAATTGAGCAATATTTTATATTTTTGTAAGAGCAGAATTATTTTACTGCAATTGCTATCTTCATTGACAGCTATCATTGCTGTTGTTGGACATTAGCTCCATGTTTTATTCTTTTCTAAATTCGAAATCTACATGAGTACGCAAAATTGGTATATTTTTATGTGAGAAAATTTTAAGTAAAAATTATGTGTGCTATTTAGTTTAAATTGCCTAATAAAGTGATTAAACATTGGTGCTTAAATATATGCCATCACAAACAGAACTTGTAAAAAAACCAAGTCCCGGAACTCAGTTCTTCTAACGTAAAAATTTGTGACATCCATGTAATACCAAGTCGGTTAATTTATTCAGTCCCTACATAGGGATCCTTCTGTCTTAAGTTATTACGTAATTAGCTAACAAAACATCTCGTTGTGACCATATCAATATTAAAAATCTTTTATGTTTTAAATAAATAGATTGACTTGGGCCATAGCATGAAAACACAATGTATCTCACAAGTAATACATATTATATTAAATTCGATTGCTTAGTGCGATTGCCAATTGCCCCCCCGAACGGGTTCCCGCCTTGTCGTGGCGGGGGGGCTTAGTAGCCGTGGCTTGGTCACCCGCGGTGAACAAAGAGGAACCCACATGGCTGGCCCGAGGTGAAGGGCCGGCCCGAGGTGGCCACTCCGAGTGGGCTTGGCGAGTCCACTTCGGATGTGTGCTGGTGGGCTGCGGCGACAGGGGTGTCCACTCCCCTTACCGCTGCAGCCGAGGTGGAGTCGCGGAGAAAGAGGAGTGTCGCTATAGCGATGCGCCACTCACCCTATCCTCCGCGACTCAAACGGGGCTGCACCGTTGATGCGGTGGTGGTGGGGATGCGGGACCCTCCGCAGCCGAATCTTGGTTGGCGGCGGAGCCATAGACCAGATCCGGTGCTGGGGTCAGGAAGGCCAGTACTTCTGAGTACTCACTTTTCCTGGCCCCATGGCCTTCGCGCATCGGACACGGGGACGTTCGTTGCGCAGGTGTAGTTGGAGGCCGTGGAGAAGGGCGCGCCATGTGTTCTGGTGCGCCTAACTTGAGAAGGAGAAAGGGGAGAGTAGTCCATTTCATATTTCATTTCGTAATTCTTTATTGTGTTCTTCCGAGGAGACGTCGCCGTGGAGCGGCCGGCGCTGGTGGGGCCGCGGATGTGTGCGAAAGCGTTCCCGTAGCCCTGCCAATAAGCGACGAAGGTGGAACACCAAGGGGTTTAAGTCGGTGCGAGTCCGACATAACCCGTCCTTCCCCCCGCGAGGCGGGTATGCGTAGGCATTACCCCATGTAAAAAAAGGTTAGAACTTTAACCACAACGCACGATCCGAGCGAACGTAGCGAGCGTGCCGCGGCAGCGGCCGGCGAAGTGCCAGAACCGATACCTACTATAAATTGAGGTTAACACAGGAAACAGTAGAAATAATCTCAATTTCATAAAAATGGGGGGGGGTCGGCACTTCCCCCCCACTCGGCGACCATATATTCGTCCGGCGGATTACTAAAAATGGAGTCAGTTTGATAAATAGGATAGCAAGATGTAAAAACTTATAATTTTACATTGACATACTTTTGGATTAACAATGATTTATTTGGAGTAGTTTTGCTTAAATAGGATAGCGAGATGTAAAAACTTTGGTTATAATTTTATATTAAAATTCGGGTTTAATTTTGGTGATCATTTACTATTTTTGTCTGTTATATGTTACTCTATCTGGTGGTAAGTTAAACATAAGCCCCTCATTAATAGGCGAACCTAACAAAAAACAATTCATGAAAAATCAAAAAGTTAATGAAGTTATGAATATTTCTCGGAAAAAATGAAAAATAAGAATTTGAAATCAAGGAAAAAAAAAGAAAAATTGAAACAGATATGAATAATGCTATAGCAAAGCGCTGCATAGGTTACTCATGAAATAAACAAATAGTCATCAAATAATAAAGAAATGCTTATTTGATTAAATCACAAAGTATTTTTTTTTCTCGAAAAATTAAATAAATTATTATTGAAATTATCAAGAGGAAATAGAAAATGAATAATCATAGCAGGAGATGTAAATATAGTCACTATGAAAGTTAGTAAATATTCTAAAAATCTTTACTTCTTTGACCTGTGTTTTCCAACCAAATTTATTAAGATTTCCTTAAGAAATAATAGAAGCTATTGGATTTCAAGAGGTATAAAAAATGATGCGTAGTAAAAAGAAAGCTATATTGTAAATATCTGCTTACAGCAGCAAATAAAAGTTTAAATAAATCTAGATACCTATATTAGTTATACATTCTTAGAAAATGTATTTTAAAGGTACAAACAAAAGATATAAAATAAAAATATATCTTAGGCTCAAATAATAAAGGTAAAGCTATATGGATAGTCATAAAAACAAATATAACAAATAGAAGAACTAGTAAAGAAATTGACACCTTAACTCACAATGGAAGAACCCTGGTAGAATGATGTGACATTAGTTTAGTTTAGTTTATGGCGGGCTGTTTTCCGCAACTCCACGTCTAAGCGCGTATTTTGCGTGTGGGCAGGAATAATGTGGTTATTTGAGCCATGATATTTCCCCGAAGAAGTTCAACAGTCCTTTGATGTTGCAAGCAACTTCGGGGAGCGATCCCGCCGTGCCGAGATGTTAAGCCCTGTATGAAGCGTACTTCTGGACATGTCCGCAACATGTGAGCCGCCGTTTCTTCCTCTCCCATGCATACCCTTCACAGGGGGCTATCAGTAACACCTATGGTGAACAAATGTAAGTTAAGAGCCACGTCCTGTGATAGCACTTGTTACTATCCTGATCTGTGGCTTGTTCAGTCTCATTAGAACCTTGGTTAGACAATTATTTCAGACAGGGCCTCCCTAGCTTGTCTACAGTCTACTAAATTTTTCCAAAGTAGAGCATGTAAATTATTGAAGTATCGAAGTACCAGTGAACGAACGTAGCCAAAGGGGATTGGTATTATAAGTTCCTCCCTATAGTGCCAGAGCCGATCCCCTCTGCCACCGCCCACCCACCCCGTCCAACAAGGTGCAAATACACCATATCATCCTAGCAATTGCAACAGAGCTGTAACCACCATACTTCAACTGAGGGTGAAGTCTTTCACCTTCCTAGCATCGCCCGGAATACCCATGAATTCAGCCTGGAGGACTGTGTTGTGGGTACCCAGCAGTGTGCATATGTTGATATTAAGGTTTTCAGAGAAAGCCCCAGACCTTTATTTGTCTTAGAACTATCCGTGAAAACTTTAAGCTCTCTTGGACCCAATCCTTCCAGTTTCCTTCAATTGTATCCTGTACTTCTTATCGAATACAAATTGTTTTGGGATCCTATCATACTTGGCTTGTAAGATAGGAATTTTTGAGTAAACTCTATCAATTATATGTGTATGGGGGACTCTACTCTTACTTAAAAGATTTAGGGTCTTGAGTCTAACGGCAGCTAAAGTTGCTTCTTGTTGTATATGTAGATGAAGCGGTGTTAGCTCCAGCATAGCCTTCAAAGCTGCTGTTGGTGTAGTCCTTATGCAGCCAGTGGCAGCCATACAAGCCAATCTCTGGTAACGTTGAAGCTTTCGTATAGCGGTGGCTTCATTAGTTTTGGTCCACAATACCAGAGAGCCATATGTGATCATGGGTCGAATTACAGTTTTATACAGCCATAGTATAATTTTTGGTGTCAAACCCCATTGTTTGCCAATCATGTTTCTGCATTGCCAGAAAGTTAAACTAACTATGCTGATTTTTTGATGAAGTGAAATTGCAAATAAGTTTAATAATTCTTTCGTATATTCAACAAATAAAGACAAACTGAATTTGTCGAAAAATTGTATGTGTACACAATCCTGTAATTCTACTATATTCTTATGACCCACAACTCGAAAAAAGATGTTTCTGCATTGCCAGAAAGTTAAACTAGCTTTGCTGATTTTTTGATGATGTGACATTGCAAATGGGTTTAATAATTTTTTCATAGATTCAACAAATAAAGACAAACTGAATTTGTCGAAAAATTGTATGTGTACACAATTCTGTAATAACTATATTCTTACGACCCACAACTATGGATGAAATTAATCAAATTATCACTTTTATTATCCCTTCGAAACACTAATTCAGTGAGGTTACCGAATAATATATCCACAACATCAGTAACCTTTTAACTCTTTAAGTTTATTACTGAATGCATTAATGACAATGCATCAGTGGTAGCTCTCTTTTTGGATATGAGTAAAGCATTTGACTTTGTTCATCATGGAATACTTCTCAATAAACTCGAAAGATACGGAATACATGGGAAAACAAATGAATGGTTTAAAAGTTACCTGGATCAAAGACAACAATGTACTGAAATAACAAAGCTCAAAGACATGTGACTTAAAAAGTGCATATTCGGTCTAAATATCGTTTAAACAAATATGGTGTACCGCAAGGAAGTATTTTCCATCCTCTACTCTTCCCAATACTCCCCGAAAAACAAGAACTTCCCAAAAAACTATTATTTTCACTTATGAGCCAAAAATCATTTTTAAATGTACAAACAAGACTTTTTGAATTTGATATCAATAGTAAACTAAAAGATACTATAATTGATTGGTTAAACTCTCACAATATTACTGTAAATATAAAGAAAACTAAAATAATGCAATTTCACATGACTACAAGAAAGCAAATTAATTTAACGATAAAGTATAATGAAAATGTGCTACAAGAAGTTGGTTACTATAAATTTCTTGATATTACTATTGAAAATAATTTTAATTGGAAAATGCATGTTCAACCGATATGAGACAAATTAAATAGCCAACTTCGAGATAGCATCTGGCAGAGCTGTGTTAAACACCTATGTCTCATCGATATTGCAGTACAGACTTCCGATATGGGGTAACTGTTCTGAAATAGAATGTGTATTTAACATCAAAAAAAATGCATTCGAGCAATCTGTAAATCACATTCAATGACATTGTGCAAGCCATTATTTAAAGAAATGAAAGTGCTACCACTCTCATGTATGTATTTAAAACAAGCCAAGATTTTTGTCAAGCAATTCCCTGAATACTTCCCAAGTGATAATACTTTAAGAAGTTTAAGAGAAAAATATAATAACAGAATATACCTTCCAAAATGTAAACTGATGTTCTTTCAAAAAATTCCTAATGACAAAGTTAAAAAACAAACTTCATGAATGGCTCTTAACTGTTTTTATACCATTAATGAGTATCTTGATCAAAAAAATCAAAACAAATTACATAATAAATATCTGTTCTATAAATAAATATCTGTATTTAAATTGATTGATTGTTTTGCAGTGAGTAAATAAAAAAGACTCAGATAGTTATAAAATAATAATGATAAACCAACTAGGGTTTTTTTACTGGTTTTACATAATATGAACATTTATATTTTGACATTTGTAAATGATTATGTGATATTATTTTTCATAATTAATTTTTGACATTTATTTAGTTAATCAGACATTTTTATATTATATTAATATACAAAAATTCATCAATAACTAAAAAAAAATGTGTTGTGTGATACCAATGTGATGTGTAAAGCTTATAACTTTAGTCAAGATTTGCATACCTCATTGAGGCAGAATGTATTTGAACTTTTATTCTTAAAAATACTTTTTTAATATCTACCTACATTCTAAGCAAATAAATAATTGTGAATTATGAATTATAAAATGACTATAATATTTTTTTATTGTATAAGGGTGACAAACACACCATCCACCTGATAGTAAGTGAATGCTGCGGCTCATAGACATCTATATCTATCCTTGATTAAAAATAAAAATGCAGATATATTGTCACTGAAAACTACGATTAAAATGCCTCATTTCCAGTAAAAAAGCTCTGCTTCTCTAACTCACCATACAAAACACAGCAGCATTACGCTGCTATTTTATGCTAGTATTGTGAAAGCTAGATCCTATTCCAGTCGAGCTGGCCCATTTGTGCTACAATCATTATATAGCTGGAATTCTATGTTGAATAACTACAATAATTTTGTTTAAAACTTGATTTGAACTTTAAATTAAACAAATATCTGATTTAGATTCCACTACTATCTAAATCATAATTATCATGCCACCCACAGATAGTGGATCTCCTTTATTGAAATTCATAAGACCTATCTTATGACTTTCCTTTGACAGAGGTAACATCTCAAAATAACAAAAAAAATGCAGATGCCAATCCATTTGCCTAGTATCCCACCATGAGACAATCTATGAGGCAGGCCTATATTTAGTTGTGGCTTTTTGATAGGTTTTAAGGAATGAATGAAATATATACTTACTTCTATATATGAAACACCAATATCAAATTCCCTCTCTTCCTTAAATGAATCAATAGTATAAAACAGATGTTCCATGGTGAGGTAAGTTATGCCCGGATGTTCTTCATTTCCAATCATGGTAAAAGTCTTCCCCGCCCCTGTTGCACCATACACAAATACGGAACAGTTGTAGCCTTCCATTAGTGAGACAAGTATTTCTTTAGTTGTAGTTTCAAAAACATCCTTATTAGTTGATTTATGTCCACAGACATGATCAAACACAAATTTGAGTTCCTTGTTTGCTCGTTTCAGGAAATTTTTGTTAGGCTGCTGTATACCGTGGTAGAAAAAGGGTCGTATCTCTTCTTTGGGGTCAAACACCAGCATTTTGTCGTCGACTACATCCACTACAATTCGACTATTTTGCTCCAATTCTCGTTCGTTTAAGGGTCTTACCCTCACAACAACTTTAACATTAGCCGACGACATACTTTGTGTCGAACCACTTCTTGAGGGAGCGATAGTGGCAGTCCCTTTAGGTCTACTTGAAACTTTATCCATTTTAACCATTTTCTTCAACACTATTTCAAGCTTAGGTTAATGTATCACGTCAAATAAACAGCATTTGTTTTATTTTTTGTTTTACATGCACTATTATGAAGAAGCAAGCCGAACACGTATAATATTTTGTATTTTAATCGCATATAGTAGTTTAAACAGTCACTTATGTTTGAATCAGTTTGAATCACTTTTGAATTTGAATTCGATTTGTAACCGTCAAATTTAAAACCATAGACGTGAAGCATAGTATAGCCACAGTCTATAAATATTATACTGTTAAACTGTGGTTCTAACCGGCTTTGCCGGTGTCTATAGGATTCTCTGTCTACGGTTCTAACGCTTGACGCAAACAGTACGTAAGCAATAGATTCAAGGCTTTTAGCACAGGCTTGTTTTGTAAGAACTTCTAATCATTTTATTATTATTTATTGAATTGAATTTAAAATAATATGAAGAATTTAAATTATGTTTTCAATTAAATAATATTAATTTTTATTGAAAAGATGATTTGATTTGTATAATTTGTTATTAATGGACACTATTTTTATAATAAATAATCATATACATAATGAAGATGATTTTAGTAGCATGTTTATGATATTAAATTGTGTAAGTAATTTATTACAACGTTTCATAAATTCCCTTAGTCCGAAGATCTTGTACTTAACGACATATCAAATCACAAACGCAGTACAAACTGTACTCTTATTAGTTTGTGATAATAGATTAGAATATACTTTGTGACTATATTTATAGTACCTGGATGACCGAGCCCTGCTCGGTTTTTTTAAATCGTGTGTTTTGGAAATTATATTTAGATACAAATTACAAACTGATGAAATATGAATAGGTAATATTTTTTGATCTTACCGACATAATAGAAAAAACTAAACTGGTTGTTTGAATAAAAAATCATGAGTGCAATTAGTTCAATTTAAATTTTCATATTTTTAAAAAAATACTAAAAAGGGCTCTAAATAATAGATTTTCTCACAAAAGAAGGGAACTTGAAAAAAAAGGCAAAGTAGTCAGACCGAAGACAGGACCGAACCAGGGCACTACGATTTCATGACAGCCTGATATCCACTTGAGCTATTACGATTATTTAATAAAGTGTCAAAATTTACCTTCTTATATTGTAGCAGTTTTTCATTGCACAGACAAAACAACATTTTCTAAATAAAAACCTAGCTAGATCGATTTATTGGCCCCGAAAACCTCTGCACACAAAATTTTATGGAAATCGTTGGAGCAGTTTTCGAGATTCCGATTGTATATATATATATATATATATATATTTATATTTATATATATACAATATGTAACAAAAACCCTGTTGGTCGTTTCAGGGACGTATAGGTGTACACCATAGGCATGGCAATTATGATAATGAAATTTTTTTTGGTTGCTTTAAATGGGGTTTTTGAGTTTCTAATAAGATAACTTAAGAAATATTAAATGTCTAAAAATGTTATTTGCTTCTGAACTTACCGACACGTGCCGACATAATATTATCTACGTCACAGAATAAATAATAGTCTACGGCCGATATGAGGTCACTGACATGGCGGACTCAAAGCAAGCCGCTAAGCGGCGCGTGCTTCCCCAAGGTTTTTGTGTAAATCTTTATACCTATCTAGACTCAGTTATTCTCCGAAAATTTTAATTTTAAAATAATAGAAATTATAATGAAATGGATATTATTTCAACCCCAATACACGTAGTATTTGAATACTTATGTTGTAAATTTCCACTTTATTGCTAAATAGATCTACGAAAATATTTAAAAAGGTTATTTCACGCATAAAATATCGTGAATAATTCCAAATTCGCAACGATTTGCAGGAGAAATTTAGTATGTATTTTTCATATGAAATATTATTCGATAAAGAATATGTAGTAGGTTGTAATCATTTTTTAAATAAATTCATATTGTCGTTTATTGCTAGAATATAATAAACAAAACAAAATTAATAGGTAATATACGCGGCGTTTTGCGCGCTCTTTGAACTCAAAAGCGAAAGCCGACAAAGGACTTAGGTACTAGGAAAAACCCAAAAAACTCCACTCTTCGAGTGATTAAAAGTAGCGTTTAACTAATATTGATCCAATATCTATTATTTATTCTGTGCTAATATTTAGTAGTAATATTTAAGAACGTGGGAAGTTTTATGAACATAAAATTTTGTCACGATTCAGTGATCAAGAATAAAAATTAAAATAAGGGTTGTTTATCTACGGTAGATAAAACATATAAGCCGGTGTCGCAAATGTGTGACAGGTGGACATATTGAACAATAAAAAAATAAAAATATAAATTTCTTTGCAACCTTCCGCTAAATAAATACAATGATGTGTCTTACCTGGATTGAAGAGCACCTCCCGCCCTCCCTCAATTACATGCACTAACTCCGTCACCACTAGCCCCAGCATCACTACTCCCAACACCACTATTCCAAGTAACAGTTAGTGGTGTTGGGAGTAGTAGTGCTGGGGATAGTGGTGCTGGGAGTAGTGGTGTTGGGAGTAGTGGTGTTGGGACTAGTGCTGACGGTACGGTACGGTAGTGAAGACTTTACGGGGAGTGCTTTGCTACTCCACGAAATATACAATTGCCGTCGGCGATGACGTTCCAATGACTTCACATTCGTATGTACAATACTGGCAGTGTGCATGGCCGTGATCAACAACGTACAGATTCAGGAAGACCGAGGATGTACGACGACGACATCGAGGAGCACATTATCGACATGTTTGAGGAAGATGCGACGCGGAGCACGCGCTCGGTGGCACGTGAACTAGGTGTGAACCATATGCGCGTTTGGAGAGCCCTCAAAGATGATGGCCAGCACCCGTATCATTATCGTCGAGTTCAGTGTCTTCTTCCCAACGACTACGAGCCGAGAATGGATTACTGTAGATGGTTACTTGATAAGGTTGAAGGAGATCCTGAGTTTTTGAACCGCCTACTTTTTACGGATGAATGCTCTTTTGTAAGAACAGGTGTATTTAACGCTCATAATGAACACGTATGGTCAACGACAAATCCGCATTCGTATAAACAAAGCCACTTTCAACACCGATGGAAAATCAATGTGTGGGCGGGAATTATAGGTAACAAAATTATTGGTCCGTATTTCCTTGACCACACAAGTGGTGAAAACTACGGACGTTTTTTGCGAGAAGAACTAAGCATTGAACTTGACGAAATAAATTTAGACCTCATTCGTCGCATGTGGTTTCAACACGATGGTGCACCACCGCATTTCTCCCGTTATGTAAGAAGTTTTTTGGATACTGAATTCGGTGAAAGATGGATTAGCCGCGGTGGACCGGTCAATTGGCTGGCACGATCACCTGATCTCATACTTTTAGATTTTTATCTCTGGGGTACGATTAAGCAGACTGCATTCCAAAAAACGTGCGATACCGAGGCAGAAATACGTATATATAGTCGCAGCCTTTGAAAAAATAAAGTCCGAAATGTCTGTTATGCAACGCGTGCGTTCCGACATTATAAGTCGGTGTCACAAATGTATAAAGGTATAAGGTGGACATATTGAACAACATCTTCGTGGTCGTCAGCTGTGATGTGACGAGGTCACGACCTCAGTGTGCAGTCAGTGTAGGTAAGACGCGCGCGTGCGCGCCCCGTCTTTGATGTACCTACGTCACCGCCGGCCACCACCCTCCGCTGTAGATAATTCCAGGCAGAGGTAATCAATCCACATAAAATTTACAAATATTATTAAGCTATTGCATAGCTTCTATCGCGGGCCTTGAGCGCGGGGACCGAATCCAGAAATTCCGTAACGAAAAAAACCTCACGCTCCCCACTCCGACTGGCACGGAGGTGTGGCATTGAAAGCCGTGCATCGTCTAACGTCGTTTTAGTTCGGCAGACTTCGGCACTCGGCAGACTTCGGCACGGTGTTTGTGTGCGTGCGACTAGACGTATGCGTGTACACTAGCTGCTAACTCAATGATAAAAATTCCTGAATAACCTACATGTATTGCAAGATATTAAAAATATTTTAAACAATATTAACTTCTCATTTATTCAATAAGAGAAAAAAATTGTTTTCTTATCGGTCACCACGCTCAAAAAGTGTAACTTGATTTAATATCAAAGACTTAACTGCATAAATAAAATAAATAAATAAATATAATTGCATAAGTTGATAAAAATGCTATGCAATAGCTTTACCGCGGCAGTCACCGAGTGCCACACGTATTTTTTAATTAAAATTTAATTTGATTATTTTTCTGTCGAGTTTTCTGAAGTAAAGTTATTTCTATACGTTTGAATACTGATTCTGATAACGCAATTAACGGGAACCATAAGGTTTTTGTTACATATTGTATATAAGCGTAAAGAAATATTTTTTTTTCAAAAAACACATATTTAAAAAATAATTTTCATAAAAAAAAATAATTTGCAAATTGTATGTGGTTTTATGTTCTCTAACTCACACGAGTATCGGTAATGCGGCGTCTTTGACAATCCTCTTACTCCTAGGCCAATGCAGAGATAATAAAACAATTTGCAAATATAAAACTATTTGCAAATAAATCTTTTTTTTTCATAATTTTTTTTATATGTGTTTTAAAAAAAAGTAAAAGTATTTCTATATGCTTGGATACTGATTCTGATCACACAGTTAACGGGAACCGGGAAATATATATATATATATATATATATATATATATATATATATAATATATATATATATATATATATATACAAGAATTCGTTTTAAGGTATAGGATATCTATGCAATAAATGAAAAAAAGTTCTATATTTATTGTAACATTGACTACCAGTATGAAAGATCTCGATTTTAAGAAGGAAAACAGTCTTGTGAAGCCGGGGCGGATCGTAAGTCTATAAGTCTATGGTCCCAAGCACAGGTGTATTTTCTCACTCTAATAGTTCGGTGTTATGGCAATACGACAAGACTGGAAAACGTCCAGGCACAGGGCTAACGGCTTTATGTGCT